GTAAATACTGCATGGACAGAAGCAGCAGCAGCAGCGCCACCGAAACAACACCACCACCACCATTGCTGCTGCCGCCACCAAAAAGGCGGGGGGGGGGGGGGGGAAAACACTACTGTTATAATGTTGAGGTTGGGAGTGCAGCAGAAGTTCACCATTAATATTTATTTAAAAATCAGCAGGAAAGAAGTTGGTAACTCTGGGGGTAGCTGGCCCCCATTGTGGTGGTCAACATTCCCCAACAGCTTAACCCGGCTTAAATCTCTTGCGCCGTTTTCTCCTGGTTGATCTTCCGTACGCCTTGTGTTGAGAGTTGATGAGTAAGCGAAGGTCACTACTTCATGCACCCTCCACATGCTCATTGGGATAAAGAGGAGGAGAAATGCTAGTTCCTTTGATTGTATTGGGCGGTAGTTGAGCATCAGTATCATCAAAACAATCCTTGTTTACTCCTGACTTATAAGCTTATACAGTACTGCTAATAATAATAGTTTGCGTTTATCTCTCACTCTGAAATTCAGCTCGTGTTGGTGACTGAAGTCACTGCAACAAGAAAAGCTAGGCTGTAAAGAAAAGAGATTAGTTGATAAAACGATTTCAAGAAAACACAAAATCAGCCCGGGACAGGGGCCGGGAATTCACGGTGGAATCCCTATTTAAAAGTTAAAGTATATTTCGAAAGGTCCCAAAAGAATTGATAATGAACAAAACAGACAACACAAAATTTTAGATGATTTTCGAACAAGATATTTTTAGAAAAGACCTCTCAAAAAACCTCTGATCACGCTGCGGCGGCAACAAAACGAGAACTGTGTGTTTTTGATGAAAGCAAGGGGTATTTATTGATTTCTTTTCCTGTTCTTGATCAAGGGGGTTTGATCAAGGGCAGGGAAATCCTGAAGGCCTGGGATTGGCCGACAAATCGGTAATCGAAGATGTCTTGGCGCCAAGACAGACGTCTTGGCGCCAAGAAAGTTTAATTTTTTAAATCGAAGACGTCTTGGCGCCAAGACAGACGTCTTGGCGCCAAGAAAGTTTAATTTTTTCTTGGGGAGGGGAAACCGTTGACGGATTTCGTCCGTTTTTTACGCGCGGGTGGTTTTCCACCCGATTAGATATTTTTAATTGATTTTTATTCGGGGTGCGTCGCGAGTCCCCAACACCATCCCCCCTGCCCAGTAAAGGAGCCCGCCGCCAGGCGTGCTCTTTCACTGGGCATTCGGCTCTTAAACGCCATGACAGGGATTCGCGTGCGCAATGGTTACCCGGCCATTAGCTTCATTTTGAAAGTTTTTACGTCAGAGGGTTTGTGAGAGGGTCCCTTGTCTTTTGATAGTGCTCGTATTTGAATTCGGAAGTGATCAGTTTCTGAATTCAAATAATTTTTATGTTCTATTCAAACGTTTCATTCAATATATCACATTCACAGGTTTTTTCGCGTTCATTTTGATCGATAGATTCGCGTGTCTTGTCCGATTTTGCTTAATTTTCTATTTTCGCGAGTTTTCTCATAGAACTTTTTTCGCCGATTTCACAATCTTTCCTTGCCGAAGTGTTCTTCTGAGTCTTCCTTGAAGTTTTTGAGTTTTTCCGCGATGGCTGGGCTCGATGAAGGACTGATGGATGTGGCTACCGGTTCGTCTTCTTCGGATCTTCTTGGTGATGTTCCTGACGAAGGTTTGTCATCTTTTCTTTTTTCCTCTTATATTTTCTTTTTGGTGAGTGTAATTTCAACTCTCTTGTTTTCTTTTTGGCGAGTGTAATTTCAACTCTCTTTTTCCTTTTTTGGCGAATGTATTTTCAACTCTAGTTTTCCTTGCGAGTGTATTTTCAACTCTAGTTTGTATTTCTTTCACATTCAAACGAAATATTCTTCGAATTTTCTTTTGATTGAGTTCAATTATGCAATTTCAAGCTTGTTTTCATTTCTATTTTCCTTATTTTATTTTTCATATCATGTTTTTTTTGTTATTTTCATTAGGTTTTTGGTTTTTTTTATTCTTTTGACTATTTCTTTTGATTTGCGATTTTTGATTCGATACCCATTTCAGATGTGAATCTGTTATTAGGTGAGCTGTACATCTCTGAACGTCAGGAGGAACCAAAACTGGAGGAACGGACCATCAAGTTTCCTTCGCTGGCTTCGGAACTCGTAAAAACTTTGGAGACTGCTGATTTGAGGACTTGGAAACGTCTAGTGGAACTGTGTAGTGTTGTGAAAAGTGATTTTCTATACGAGAAGACTGTTGAGGGGGCTCGCGTTTCGATTAGTAGGAAGAGAGCTCGTCTAGCTTTAGTGGAGGAAGAGCATGCATTATTAAGTCGCTCGGAGCATGATTTAAATGTGGATCTTAGTGCTCGTCGTCAAATATTACATCGATCTGAACTCGCATGCAACACAGCTTTGACTAAGTTGAATGATTCTTTTAAAATTATCAACTTTTGTGATCGCGAGACTTTTTTGCGATCCTTTTCAAATGAGAGGACTTTTTTCTTAAATATTCTTGATGGTGACTATCTGCGAACTTTTGGTGAGTTGTAAAGATTATTTTGTAAAGGACCTTTTGATAAAAAATCTCTTTTTTTTGTAATTTTTCCGACAACCATTGTGAAGCAAGGATTGGTGGCGTTACTTTGAACATCGGTGGATTCGAATCCTTAAAGAAGATTTGTTGCGGACATTTGACCATTCCCACGCCAGCGGACTTACCTGTATCAGTGAAGGGAGCTGAGATATCTGAAGGATCTTCAAACGAACATTTGGAAGTTATTTCTGAATCTTCTGATTTAGGTGTGGATTATTTATAACTTTTTTTTATTTTTAGAATTTTTTGCTTTAAACTTTTTTTTATTATGATATATTCGTAGTGGATTTGGGACCAAGTGAGGAAGTGGAGAGAATCCCTTGTATCCCTGCTGTTGTTGATGAGATGGCTGGTACTTCAAAAGGTCAAACTGGGGCAATCGCTGGTCTTGGAGATGAGGAGATTCTTCAATTTAATTTGGGACTGGATTTAAATGAAGGCGACCGCCCTTTTCGTATGTTTTTTGGAAAACGTGTTAAATTATGAACTGTCCTTAATTATTTTGCTTTACTAGGTCATTGGAGTTCAATCTTTGAAGTATCAAAATTCATGCCTGATAATTCTCCGACATATTTCAATAATGTTGGGAAATCGATGAAGTTAACTGATGCCGTTTTCAAGGAACTGAAGTCAAATCAAGTTAAGGTTCCGCTGCCAGTACCAGGGACTTTGGTTGCCGATTTCGACTTTAGTACTGCGAAGTTAGATTTCACTACGGAATCGAGAAAAAATACGAAGAGAAAGGCTAAAGAATAGTAACGTTGCAGAAATACATCAAGAAAAGTAAACGCACCTTTCCTGAAATGAAAAGCATGCGCATAAGCACGACTAGTTGCCTCTGAGCGTGCCGTTCCAAATTTTTCGCATTTGGTTGAAGATTTAGATGTCGACATTTACCAGGTATTTTTTGATAATGTTAACTATTTGATATATTTGCTAATATTATTGATATTTTTCAGTGGTCTATGTCTGGCTGGTCTGTGGTCTGTGGGGATGGATCGATGTCTTCCAGCAACCTTCGAAATCGGGTTTATTCGGATTTGAAACTTGATGAGTCGTTTATTTTTGATGGGGTTTTTGTTAGGGGAGGTACTAACGATATCAAGCAACTAATTCGTTCGGATCGTTATTGCCAATTTAACTGTTTTGATGACTTCTTTAAGGCTTATGAGGATTTTCTGAGTGAGTTATCTGAAGCTTTTAATTGTTGTGTTTTTGCTATGGGGGCATCTCCCCCCTGTACAAAGAAGAGAAAGGAGTGCCCGATTGGTCTTGTTTGCGACCGGAATGGTGTCCCTGTGTTACCTTTAACGCCAGTTAGGGCTGAACACTACGTTGGTCCTTTTGAACGTATGGAGGCGGGCCGGATTTATCAAAAGTTTTTATATTTAAGATTAAGGTCTTTGATCGGATATTTGAACAAAAGTGATCCTGATCATGTGGGTTGGAGGTCGGTTGTATCTCCGATCCTTTATTTGTCCCGATTTAGTATGTGCCATGGTGATATGGTGGGTTTTGGTCATATCTCTTCAAGGGGTTTGTTGGCTTTCGCCAGGGATCACAGCAATTGCATTCGAATCGGGTTAACCTGGTTGGGATGTACTGATTATCCTGTTCATATTTGTGCGGGTAAGGCTGCTTCTTGGGGGATAGATGGGAATATTATTCCTGGGAAGTCTCCTTTTGAGGAGCATATTCACTGTGGTTCTAATGGTCCATCTGTTTTTTGCAATGGGATGGAAAGTTTTTCTGTCTCAAAGGAGCTGCATGGTGAACAGGGGGATGTGTTCAGGTTTGTATTCTTGAAAAATATTTTTAACTTTTGATTTTACAATATTTTTCTTTTGATATACTTTCAGATTTCTGGTTCCGTCCCCCCGGTTTCTTGCCGATGAATGCTTTTTGATGGACATCTTGTGCCACAGGGTGTATGATTTTGATCAACGTGGTGAGAAGGCTTCTGCTACATCAATGGTCATCATTAAAAATTGTTCTTATCGGGGTTGGGTTATTTTTAAGACCCCAACTGGTTTTTATGTTGTTGGTAAGCAAGGTCTGAGATGGATCTTGGAAAAAGACGTTGTGAGATCTGTAACTGATGGTTTTGTTTGATATTTTTGTTTTTTGAGCTTACCATTTATGTTACCGATCTGCTGATGTGCCTCATTTTTTGTAAAACGAAAGAATTTTTTGCATTTTTGTTTGAACGATGTATCTCCATTTTTATCGAAACGTTGTGAACTATTTTGATTGGTGATGATGATCTTTTTTGAGATGTCGTGATGATTGTTTGAGAACTTTGTTTTTGTGACTTCGAACGGGTATTATGATCGAATTTGTTATGTTCAAAATTTTGTATGATGCATTTTGCACCGGAATGAACTCTTTTTCACTTTGAAAATATGTTTTATTTTGTAAACGATTTTGTGTTTATATAGTTCACCAGTATTGGAAGGGTGGTTGGATGTTCTCCTTTTAATTTGTCTTGTTGAGGTACATCCATTTCTAATGGTATTAAGTTTCTTATTGACTGATTTGTCAAAATTACAGGGAGGGACTCATCTTGTGAGAATGAACTCTTTTTCACTTTGAAGATATATTTTATTTTGTAAACGATTTTGTGTTTATATAGTTCACCAGTATTGGAAGGGTGGTTGGATGTTCTCCTTTTGATTTGTCTTGTTGGGGTACGTCCATTTCTAATGGTATTAAGTTTCTTATTGACTGATTTGTCAAAATTACAGGGAGGGACTCATCTTGTGGGCTTTTAGTTGGTGTTCCAGTAATTATGTCTACTGCTCTTATTACGTTGTCTCGTGGACTTCTATAAATTTTTAAAATTCTAGCTAATTTCCATTTCAATCTTTCGAAGGGTGAATCTCCTTTGAATGTCTGTCGCTTTAGCAATACAACTTGGCCTTCTCTTGGTTCTGATTGTGTGTTATTTCCCAATTTTTCTGTAAATTTTCTAAGGTTTTTTATGTACCCATCTTCAAACATTAGCCATAGTTTCTTGTGTATATTATATCTGAATAGAGCTTCTTTTGTAAATTTACCTGTATCATCTATCTCAAAAAATTTTGATAAATCAGGCCCTGACTCAAAGGGTCTTGTTCTCCAATCTGCTTTATGTATATGTAGGAACAGAGATGGTGTTACTACCATTGGTGCGTCTCTTTCTGCAGACTGGTATGTTAGGGGCCTTGTGTTAATTGCTGATTCTACAAATTTTACAGATGCATTTAATTTATTGTCATTGCTGAATGGTATACCACCATATCCTCTAGCATATCTATCTTTTATTACCCTCATCATTCTTTCGTAAAATCCTCCCCACCATGGGGCTCTTGCAGCATTAAAGTGCCATTTTGTTCTTTTGAAAGTTCAATTTTCTATACGAGAAGACTGTTGAGGGGGCACATGTTTCGATTAGTAGGAAGAGAGCTCGTCTAGCTTTAGTGGAGGAAGAGCATGCATTATTAAGTCACTCGGAGCATGATTTAAATGTGGATGTCAGTGCTCGTCGTCAAATATTACATCAATCTGAACTCGCATGCAACACAGCTCTGACTAAGTTGAATGATTCTTTTAAAATTATCAACTTTTGTGATCGCAAGACTTTTTTGCAATCCTTTTCAAATGAGAGGACTTTTTTCTTAAATATTCTTGATGGTGACTATCTGCGAACTTTTGGTGAGTTGTAAAGATTATTTTGTAAAGGACCTTTTGATAAAAAATCTCTTTTTTATAATTTATCAGACAATCATTGTGAAGCAAGGATTGGGGGCATTACTTTGAACATCGGTGGATTCGAATCCTTAAAGAAGATTTGGTGCGGACATTTGACCATTCCCACGCCAGCGGACTTACCTGTATCAGAGAAGGGAGCTGAGATATCTGAAGGATCTTCAAACGAACATTTGGAAGTTATTTCTGAATCTTCTGATTTAGGTGTGGATTATTTATAACTCTTTTTTTTATTTTTTGAATTTTTTCTTTATTTTTGATCTATTATGATATATCCGTAGTGGATTTGGGGCCAAGTGAGCAAGTGGAGAGAATCCTTTGTATCCCTGCCGTTGTTGATGAGATGGCTGGTACTTCAAAAGATCAAACTGGGGCAATCGCTGGTCTTGGAGATGAGGAGATTCTTCAATTTAATTTGGGACTGGATTTAAATGAAGGCGACCGCCCGTTTCGTATGTTTTTTTGGAAACGTGTTAAATGATGAACTGTCCTTAATTATTTTGCTTTACTAGGTCATTGGAGTTCAATCTTTGAAGTATCAAAATTCATGCCTGATAATTCTCCGACATATTTCAATAATGTTAGGAAATCGATGAAGTTAACTGATGCCGTTTTCAAGGAACTGAAGTCCAATCAAGTTAAGGTTCCGCTGCCAGTACCAGGGACTCTGGTAGCTGATTTCAACTTTAGTACTGCGAAGTTAGATTTCACTACGGAATCGAGAAAAAATACGAAGAGGAAGGCTATTCTTATTATTGCAACGTCTTTATGTAGTTCTTTTCATTTGCGTGGAAAGGACTTTACTTTTAGTACTCGTATTCGTGCTGATCAACGGACTGAGCGTGCTGTTCCAAATTTTTCGCATTTGGTTGAATTCTTATCATTGCAACGTCTTTATGTAGTTCTTTTCATTTGCGTGGAAAGGACTTTACTTTTCGTACGCGTATTCGTGCTGATCAACGGACTGAGCGTGCTGTTCCAAATTTTTCGCATTTGGTTGAGGATTTAGATGTCAACATTTACCAGGTATTTTTGATAATGTTAACTGTTTGATATATTTGCTAATATTATTGATATTTTTCAGTGGTCTATGTCCGGCTGGTCCGTGGTCTGTGGGGATGGATCGATGTCTTCTACCAACCTACAAAATTGGGTTTATTCGGATCTGAAACTTGATGAGTTGTTTATTTTTGAAGGGGTTTTTGTTAGGGGAGGTACTAACGACATCAAGCAACTAATTTGTTCGGATCATTATTGCCAATTTAACTGTTTTGATGACTTCTTTAAAGCTTATGAGGATTTTCTTAGTGAGTTATCTGAAGCTTTTAATTGTTGTGTTTTTGCTATGGGGGCATCTCCCCCCTGCATAAAGAAGAGAAAGGAGTGCCCGATTGGTCTTGTTTGCGATCGGAATGGTGTTCCTGTGTTACCTTTAACGCCAGTTAGGGCTGAACATTATGTTGGTCCTGATGAACGTATGGAGGCGGGCAGGATTTATCAAAAGTTTTTATATTTAAGATTGAGGTCTTTGATCGGGTATTTGACCTGCATAAAGAAGAGAAAGGAGTGCCCGATTGGTCTTGTTTGCGACCGGAATGGTGTTCCTGTGTTACCTTTAACGCCAGTTAGGGCTGAGCATTATGTTGGTCCTGACGAACGTATGGAGGCGGGCAGGATTTATCAAAAGTTTTTATATTTGAGATTGAGGTCTTTGATCGGGTATTTGAACAAAAGTGATCCTGATCATGTGGGTTGGAGGTCGGTTGTATCTCCGATATGTTCCTGTGTTACCTTTAACGCCAGTTAGGGCTGAACATTATGTTGGTCCTGATGAACGTATGGAGGCGGGCAGGATTTATCAAAAGTTTTTATATTTAAGATTGAGGTCTTTGATCGGGTATTTGAACAAAAGTGATCCTGACCATGTGGGGTGGAGGTCGGTTGTATCTCCGATCCTTTATTTGTCCCGATTTAGTATGTGCCATGGTGATATGGTAGGCTTTGGTCATATTTCTTCAAGAGGTTTGTTGGCATTTGCCAGGGATCACAGTAATTACATTCGAATTGGGTTAACCTGGTTGGGATGCACTGATTATCCTGTCCATCTTTGTGCAGGTAAAGCTGCTTCTTGGGGAATAGATGGGAATGTTATTCCTGGGAAGTCTCCTTTTGAGGAGCATATTCACTGTGGTTCTAATGGTCCATCAGTCTTTTGCAATGGGATGGAAAGTTTTTCTGTCTCAAAGGAGTTGCATGGTGAACAGGGGGATGTGTTCAGGTTTGTATTTTGAGAAAAAAAAATTTTAACTTTTGAATTTACAGTACTTTTCTTTTGATATATTTTCAGATTTCTGGTTCCGTCCCCCTGGTTTCTTGCCGACGAATGCTTTTTGATGGACATCTTGTGTCACAGGGTATATGACTTCGATCAACGTGGTGAAAAGGCCTCTGCTACATTGATGGTCATCATTAAAAATTGTTCTTATAGGGGTTGGGTGATTTTCAAAACCCTAACTGGTTTTTATGTTGTTGGTAAGCAAGGTCTGAGATGGATCTTGGAAAAAGATGTTGTGAGATCAGTAACTGATGGTTTCATTTGATATTTTTTTATTTTTTATTTTTTGAGCTTACCGTTTATGTTACCAATCTGTTGATGTGCCTCATTTTTTGTAAAACGAAAGAATTTTTTGCATTTTTGTTTGAACAATGTATCTCCACTTTTATCAAAACGTTGTGAACTATTTTGATTCGTGATGATGATCTTTTTTGAGATGACGTCTTGATTGTTTGAGAACTTTGTTTTTGTGACTTCGAACGGGTATTATGATCGAATTTGTTATGTTCAAAATTTTGTATGATGCATTTTGCACCGGAATGAACTCTTTTTCACTTTGAAAATATGTTTTATTTTGTAAACGATTTTGTGTTTATATAGTTCACCAGTATTGGAAGGGTGGTTGGATGTTCTCCTTTTAATTTGTCTTGTTGGGGTACGTCCATTTCTAATGGTATTAAGTTTCTTATTGACTGATTTGTCAAAATTACAGGGAGGGACTCATCTTGTGATGCATTTTGCACCGGAATGAACTCTTTTTCACTTTGAAAATATGTTTTATTTTGTAAACGATTTTGTGTTTATATAGTTCACCAGTATTGGAAGGGTGGTTGGATGTTCTCCTTTTAATTTGTCTTGCTGAGGTACATCCATTTCTAATGGTATTAAGTTTCTTATTGATTGATTTGTCAAAATTACAGGGAGGGACTCATCTTGTGGGCTTTTAGTTGGTGTTCCAGTGATTATGTCAACTGCTCTTATTACGTTGTCTCGTGGACTTCTATAAATTTTTAAAATCCTAGCTAATTTCCATTTCAATCTTTCGAAAGGTGAATCTCCTTTTAATGTTTGTCTTTTTAGTAATACAACTTGGCCTTCTTTTGGTTCTAATTGTGTATTCTTTCCCAGTTTTTCTGTAAATTTTCTAAGGTTTTTTATGTATCCATCTTCAAACATTAGCCATAATTTCTTGTGTATATTATATCTAAATAGAGCCTCTTTTGTAAATTTACCTGTATCATCTATCTCTAAAAATTTTGATAAATCAGGCCCTGATTCAAAGGGTCTTGTTCTCCAATCTGCTTTATGTATATGTAGGAACAGGGATGGCGTTACTACCATTGGTGCGTCTCTTTCTGCAGACTGATATGTTAGGGGTCTTGTATTAATTGCTGATTCTACAAATTTTACAGATGCATTTAATTTATTGTCATTGCTAAATGGTATACCACCATATCCTCTAGCATATCTATCTTTTATTACCCTCATCATTCTTTCGTAAAATCCTCCCCACCATGGGGCTCTTGCAGCATTAAAGTGCCATTTTGTTCTTTTGAAAGTTCTTTATCTTTCGGCAGACTGGTATGTTAGGGGCCTTGTGTTAATTGCTGATTCTACAAATTTTACAGATGCATTTAATTTATTGTCATTGCTGAATGGTATACCACCATATCCTCTAGCATATCTATCTTTTATTACCCTCATCATTCTTTTGTAAAATCCTCCCCACCATGGGGCTCTTGCAGCATTAAAGTGCCATTTTGTTCTTTTGAAAGTTCTTTTGATTTTTGCTTGGTGTTGTTCATGGCTCATTATTTTCCTCCATGCCGCATGGAATGTTTTAGCATTATCTGATATTATTAATCTTGGATTAATTTCTCTACTATAACAGAAGGTTTCAAAGGCTCCTATAAAATGTTCTAAATCCACTTTTTTTACTATTTCCAAATGAACTGCTCTAGTGAGTGTGCAAGTGAATACACATATTGATATTGTTTGAGATGGGATTGACTTTATGATTTTAGGTCCTTTTGATCTTTGTTTCTTTTGATTTGCATTATGTATATTTTTATTTTCTTTTTCAAAATTTTGCGTTTTAAATGGTCCTACAAAGTCTATTCCAATTTTTTCAAATGGGATCATTCCTGTATATCTGTAGTCTGGAAGTGGTGCTTGTTTTGCTTGAAAGGGTTTTGCATCAAATCTTCTACAAATGGGACATTCTCTCTTAACTTCTTTAGCTAGATTTCTGCTTCCTGGTATCCAATATTTAAAAGCCAAGTGTACTAGTAATTGATTTGTTGAAGGATGTTTTAATTTTTTATGATGATGTCTGAAGAAGGCTTTTAATATGTTACAATTGTCTTCTTTTTTTGGGACTGGTAAGTATATTAAAGATTTTCTTACTGGATGATCTGGTGGTATATCAGTTTTTTCATCTATCATTTGCCTACTTTCTGACATAATTAGTTGTTTTATGGGATCCCAGGCTAAGTCTGGCCTATTGGGAATCATTATTCCTTTACTTATGAATTTCCACTCTTTATGAAAGTAAAACTTTTGTAGAAGTCTTGATGCTTGATATTCTGCTAGTTCAATTTCATAGTCTGTAAAGTCTGATTTGAATGATTTGAATGGCAGGAATAGATCTGATGATGTTAATTTGTTATCTTTCTTATATAATCTGTAAAAATAGAATGTTTTTATTCTAGATATAGCGCAAATTCTTTTTGTTATTTGTTTCCATGTTGTTGTATTTTTAAATATGTATTCAATTGTATTTCTTGTTTTTCTGAATTCAATTTCTTCTACCTTGGTTGTCATAACTGTTAACCTTACTGATAATATTTTTAGTTTTACAGGCCATTCTGATTTATTTGCTAACCAAGTTGGTCCTTCAAACCAAAGTTTTGATTTTAATAATTTGTCTGGACACATGCCTCTTGATGCTAAATCTGCTGGGTTACATTGTCCTGGTACATGTTTCCATTGATGCTTTTTTGTTACTGATGATATTATATCTGTTCTTGCTCTAATGTATGATATATTTCTAGGATTTTCTAATTGAATCCAATTCAATGCAATTTCTGAATCTGTCCAAAAATATACTTCACAGTGATGTAGATTTAATGCCTTTTTGATTTCATCTACTAGTTGCGCTACTATACATGCAGCTGTTAATTCTAATCTATTTATTTTTATTGGTTTTGGATTTGATTCTATTGACTGTCGGGTTTGTTTGGGTATTAATCTTGATTTACCCCAGAGCAATTGCATTTTTGTTTCTTTTTCAGATTTTGATACATAGTATATGGCCACACCCATTGCTAACCCACTTGAATCACTGAATGCGTGTAATTCTGAACTTATTTCATTTTTTACTTTTACTTTTCTTGGTAGTTTTATTTGTTTTATTTTTTCCAGTTCTTCTGCTAAATTCTTAAATTCCTGTGTTTCTTTTGGATTTAGCTTTTGATCCCAATCTGCATTTGGGTGTTTGTCATTATATTTCTGTAGAATTAATTTTGCTTCTGTTATAGAAGGACAAGAACTGCCTGTGGGGTCATATGGTCCGGATACTAAACCTACTGCTTTCTTCTTCTAATAGATTTACTTTTTACAAATTTAACCACATTTTCTATTGAAGGTGATATCTCATCTGTCTTTGGATCATATGTTATACCTAGGATTTTGTATGGTTTTAATGTTTCTTCTGTTTGTTGTTGTACAGGGTATGTTCTAATTTTTGTTAGTTGAAATGATCCCATAGCTAGTGATTTTTCTGCTTTTGATAATTTGTCTTTCATTTGATCAATGTTATTTCCTGTGACAAGTACATCATCTACATAAGTGTTATTTTCCAGCTGATGTTGTTCTTCTAGGGTGATGTATCCTTTTTTGTGAGCTTCCTTATATAAATATCTTACACTTGCATTTAGTATAAAGGGGGCGCAGTTTATACCCCATGGTAATCTAAGCCATCTATAAAATTGAGGTTTATAGGTGCCATCAGATTGTTTTTGTGGCATTCTAATGATTAATAACCACTGGTCTTCTTCACTTAATTGTACCTGTACAAATGCCTTTTTTACATCTGCTATTCCAAATGAATCTGAAAATCTTAATCTTAACAACATATGAGCTATATTTGGTAGTAATTTTGGACCTTGATTAAATAAATCATTACATGATGCTTTGTTTTTATCAGCTGCATTGCCTGCTATTACAACTCTTAAAGGTGTGGTAGGGTGGTCAGGTCTTGCCACACCATGATGTGGGAGTTCTGTGTATGGTGTACCTCTTTCGTTTAATTCTTCTAATGAAGTGGGTGTGATAATCCCATCTTTGATCCAGTCATTGGAAAATTGTTGGTAGGCTTCTGCCATTGGTCCACCTTTTTCTAATAGTCTGATTACAGATGAACTTCTCTGTTCTCCTGTTTTTAGATTATTATTGCAAAATTGTGGAAAACATGGATTTTTTGGAATAGGTGCTATAACCCTTTTGTTTTCAATTTTGATTTGTTTAAAATATTCTGATAATTGTAGTTCTGATGTGTCATTATCTTTCTCAGTTCCAAATATATCAAAATGGTCGAGTCTTAATTGTCTTAGTATTACTCTGTTTAATTCATAGTCATCAATTGTTTGTTCAAGTGATTTTATATACATATTTTTGGGAGTGAACATTGGTATATCCTCTGGTGTTTCATGCCAGTACCCTCTGGGTATTAATCCAAAAGGGGTATTTGTTA